TAGGGGTTTGGGGTTTGGGTTTAGGGGTAGGCGGGGGTGGGGGTGCTTGCAGTCTGTGGCTGAGGGTTTGGTGGCGAAGAGTAGAAGCGTTGGGTTTGGGAGTAGTTGAGGTTTCGCATTTTTGTTTGGTAAGGTTTCGGATGTGTGGGGGGCCGCTTTCAACTAAACTTACCAAAGTCCCCAAACCCCTAAAGCCCAAGCATGGAACCATCCAAACCCCTAAGCCTGAATTTGTTCCCCGTGTGTCGAGTTCAAGCATACCCTTAAAGCCTAAACCCTAAACCCTAAACACCAGTCCTCGAGGGACAACGACTGGGCCATGGACTACCTGGAGGAAATGCTGCAGCATGTTTTCGACAGGAGGATGCCTGGCCTGAAGTGGTTGAGGGCTCACAGTGTGCAAACAACCCCAAAGCCCTGAAGCCCGCCTGAGAAAACATCCGCCAACCATATGAAAACAGCCCCAAAGCAGCGGGAAGAAGCCCCTGAATCCTCCTGAACCTTCAAAAGTGCCCCCATAAACCCTAAACCCTAAACCCTAAACCCTAAACCCCAAACCTTCGAGGATCTGGGAGTCCGAAGCGCTGGAGGCCGCCCTCGGCGGGGCGATGGGCGCGGTGGCGGGGCTCTGGGCGTGCTGGGCGCATTGACGCACGAGCGGCTCGGTTTGAGGTGTTTTAGGGGTTTCAGGGTAAGAGGGTTTAGCGCTTTCGGGCTTTCAGGGCTCAGAGGGTTACTTCGGGAGATATAAGGTTTCTACAAGAAACGTCCCTGCTGAGAACTGGCAAGTTGCGTTTGCGAGGCGTGCCCTCAACCCCACACCCGACATGTAAAAGCAGAGCGAGGATGCGTCCTTCTACAAACCCTACGGCCCCACTGGGGGTTGATTAGAGTAGACCGTTTAGAGTTCTTCTGTGAGCCCCCTGCATAACCCCATGTTAGGGTCTTAGGGTTAAGGGTAGAAGGCCCCCAAACCCGAAAGCCTCCCCCATGGCCGGGGGTTGAAGGTTGAAGGGTTGAGGCTTCATCTCCTCACCCTAGAATTTTCACCTCCTTCAAGAAAGACATAGGCATACAGGGGTTGTTCGAGGCTAGGAGAGTCAGGATTGGGTTTTCGGGCATAGGCTGCCAATCCTCGGCGACCCTACAACCCTAGGCCCTAGAACCCTAGAACCTTCAAGCTGTCAACCAAGGCTGACCTGTGAGCCCAGCCCCGCAGTGGCTAATGTCTCAGAAGGAACTGCCTGTGCTACGGTTTGGTGTGCTCTCTCCGTCCTAGTCGCGAAAGGACAGGCCCAGTGAGCCTTCTCGGGTTTTTGGTTTGTAGGGTTAAAGGGTTTATGGGCTTTGGGGCTTTAGGGTTCTAGGGCTTTAGGATTTTAGCGTTTTAGGGCTAGGATGGGGCTAAAGGAGCAACTGAGGCCCTGAACCCGATAGCTCGATAGCCTGATAAACCCAAAACACTTCATCTCCTGCCTTGAGCCCCTAAACTCTGAAGTGCCTCAAGCCCAACTAAGCCCTGAAGCCTGGGCATAACCTGAGAGTTAGGGCAAAAGGGTGTTCAGACACTGAGAGTTCGGGCAAGAGGGTGTTGAGTTCTGCTTAGGGAGGGAGCCCCCAGCTCGGGTGGCGCGCCAAGCGTGATGCAATTCAGTGTTTGCACCGGGGAAGGCTTCTTGGAAGCAGAGTCGACAGAGATCGACAGAGAGGATGTTTGTGAGCCACAGCTCTTGTGTATGTTGCGCGCGATGGATGGGTTTTTGTTTCAGAAGGTTCCCTGAACCCCAGCCCGAAAACTCTTCCAATCCTCGTCAGAAGAGGGATCTGGGTTGCAAGAAGTACCGCCTCCGGCGTGTTGGAGGAAGGGAGGTGACAGGTGCCGACATCCTACAGAAGAAGCCATCGGCAATTACGATGGGGTCTGGAGGTTTGGGGTTTAGCGTTCATGCTGGGGGATGTTGAGGGCTGTTAGGGTGAAGGGCTCAATCCTTGCGTCTGAGAAATGAGGCCTCAGCTCCCTGACGATTCTGTGCCACCACCAGGTTCAGCGCAGTATTGCGAACTAATGTGCACTGTGCCTCGCCTGCGACGGATCCATGCAAATGTCATCTCCTATCTGCATGTAAGTTTACCAGGGCCCTGTTCTATTGCCCAGAGCCCACACGGGGATTAATTGAACAGGCGCCGCGGGCCACGCTCATGGGAAAATATGTGTTGTTGCCGCCATGGGGAAGCTCCATGGCATTGGAGTGGCACTTTGAGTGTACCCGCGAAGTGCGCCTGTTGCTTTGCCAAATCGTTCTGTGCAAGTTTCCTGGCAGCCTTTCAGCATCGAGGCCTCCTAGCCCGCATGGGCACACGGCACCATGTCAAAACTGGATCCGGCCCTGCATACCTCACCCTATAGACAGCGCCCTCCTAGCCCTCACTCCCCCAACCTTAAACCCTACACCCTACACCCTAAACCCTAAACCCAAAACCCTAAACCCTAAACCCTCAACCCTAACCCTAAACCCTAAACCGAACATTACAAGCCGCGAGAAGCCCATGGCTCGTGCAATTGCTGCTGCATCGCTCAGCAGACATGCGCGTAGGGCCGTTCAGGCCCACCTTCAGATAGCGCAAACCTTTGGCGAAGTGGTTCCATGTCCCTTCAGACTTTGCAGAAGGGTCTCAGGGCATGCGTGAAGGTACCTCAATAGTCAAAAGTAGGAAAACAAGTGCCCTCTAGAAAGTATTCATGGTACAATATAGTTGTAACTTTACTGCCCTACTTTTAGCCTGCAGTTTCCACTAGTGTTGTGGGTTGCAGGCCGGCTGATCTTGATCTAGAGTTTATACATGGGGTTGCCCAAAATTCTGGGGGCATCTTCTGGTACTTTTCAACGGCTAAGAATACTCGGGTTGCTATAATGGAGACAAGAATTGGCCAAACCCCTTCCGTGTTGCAACGCACCAAAGAGGCCCGGCGAGGCTGCAGCGGCAGGCGGGCACTTGTTGGGGGAGGGGCTTTCAGGGCTCCAGGGTTTGGCGTAAGCCCAGGACAGTTTGGGGCTTAGGGTTTAGGGTCTAGGGTTTAGGGTTTCGGGTTTAGGGTTTCGGGTTTCGGGTTTAGGGTTTAGGGTGGCTTGCAGGAATGTTGCACGTGCTTTGAGGTGTTGTGCGGCGAAGCCTGTCAAGCCGTTGAACAGGGTGTTTGTGAGGGTTCGGCGGCTTGTAAGTTAAATGCACTCGTGAGAGGATCTGTAAAGGTCAAACAAAGGGTGATTTACAAAGCTTCAGGCTTGAAGTTAAGGGCTTCGGAGTTATAAGTCGCGGGGGTTGATCTCAATGGGTCTCGATTGTTGATTTTTGCTTATATCTTGGGGTACGAAAAAGGGCCGCCCATTCCCCTGATACCCTGCATCCTGCACCCGAAACAGTGCTCTCATTCCGTATTCCCACCATTAGCCCATCCAAAGGCCCCCACAAGTCCCCAAGACCTTAACCCCAGAACCACCCCCCCCCCCTCCCCTCTCCTCAACTCCTGTGTTCAGAAAGTGGCACTTCGAAGCTCGACGGCGAGGCCCCCTTTGTGGTTCACTTGGAGGTTCGTGCTTCGGGTTCAGGGTTCGGTCTAGGTACCTTTTTGGGCTGGGAGTATGAGGAAGGTCATTCTACTTATCACTGGCAATGCCTGTGTTTGCGGTTACTTGTGCGACCTTCTCGTCACCAAACATGAGCTTGCGGGCGAAACGAAGCCCAAGATCCCAAGCTGAACCTGAAACCCTCCACCTCAAGCGCTTGGAAAGTGCACCGAATTCCAAGGGAGCCGCAACATGTGGGGGTTTCCACTCCCCTGAAGGACGAGCAACTCATGGAGAGTATCGTGACACCGGTGGTCCCAGGCCAGTGTCATCCCCCCGACACGGCCCTGAAGCCTGAGCCCCTTTACACCATGTTTCGAGCTGTTGTGGGGCTTTAGAGGTCCGCCTCTGGGGCCTTGTCTTTGGTTGTCTATGGTTTGGGGGGGTTGTCGTCTTTGTTGTTTGGCATCGTGGGGCCTGTAGCTGTGACCTTCAACTACATCCGCCAACCTCGTCTTTGCTTCCTTAGACTCCTGACAAGAACTGCCGGCCCTTCCCACCTACCCTGAACCCGAAACCCGAACCCTTCCCGTAGGCGCAGTAGCGGACGAGCTCCCCGACGTGGCCGCTCTTCACCAGGCGGCCGGGTGGGTTGAGAAGGGTTCCGGGTTGAGGTTTTGGTCTCGGGTCTAATGTGTTCCTAACCCTTTCACAGACCTTGGTGAAGCCTTGGTTGTTCTTGATATAGGCGTAAACGGGTCGGTCGTCTGGTGCAGATGCATGCTTTGGGGTAGGGTGGCCCTGAAATTTTGGGGTATGTGATCATGCTGGCTGGCCCCGAAGGCCCGAACCCAAACCCCAAACCGTAACTGAGGAGGAGCCGGCCCAAGGCAGGCATGAAGACGACTGGGCGGCGGAAGAGGACCAGGCTCCGATTTAAGGCTAGCAAGGGTTCGAGGGCTGAGGGTGTAGAGGAAGCCGCTACCCCTAAACACCACAGTCCTAACACCTTAACATCCGAAGCTCTAGAGCCCTACAATCCGGGTCTGGTGGGGATGCCGGGTTTGGGATGTTGGGGTTTAGGTCTCGGAATTTAGGGACTGTAGAGGGGCGTGGGTTTCTCTTCTGGGTTTAGGGTGTCAGCCCCCAAGCCCCAGTCGGTGCTTCAGACCGCGCCATGTCCAACCAAGAATGACATGCCAGTGTGGGTTTGGGTTTCAAGGCTGAGCCTAGGCCTGCACGGTGCAGAAGCTTATGATTCGGGCTCCAGGGCTTGAGATCTGAAATCCGAAGACTTGGAGTTTGGGGGTTTAAGGTGAGACCTGAAGAAATTTTTGTATTTGTCGCACTTTTCGAAGCTGCGGCAGGCACCTTCGCCTTAAGGCCAAAGCCCAGGGCCCTCCACCCTAAACCGAAGAGGAGCCGGCGCAAGGCATGTCGCAGAAAGACCTCCATGCGGCGGGGGAGGACCAGGTGGCGGAGGAGGACCAGGCTCCAACCACTGGATTCTTTGTTCGGGAACTGTAACTAAGTTTACCAAGAATGGGCACTTTCTATATTTACATTTCAAAAACATTCCATATTGTGGTAGTTGACTTACCTTAAGTTCCTTGACAGCAGTTTTGACTCGGGCCGTTTGCGAGTTCCAGTGATAAGCCTGCTAAGGTCCTCAGTAGGGACCACACGTGTAGTTTCCGGGGTCGTTAGAACTAAGGTTAACGTCAGTGGTTGTAATCGCATCCAAGACTTCTGCCTAAATCCGACATCCTAAGCCCCGACCATGAAACTGTAAAGCAACTCGAAAGCCCAAAACTGGAAGTCTAGACCCCCAACCCTGAAGCCCCAAACAAAATGGAGCCTTCTTAACCGCAGCCCCTAAACACTGGCTGGTCCCTAGTAGAGAATGAGGGAATGAGGGCCCTACATAGTCCCTTAAAGGGTGAAAAGGACCCCCCTCATTCCCTCAGTCCCTACTAAGAACCAGGGGAACATGATAAGCTCAAGCCCTGAGGTCCCAAGCCTCACGCCCTCAGCCTTAGCTTACCCTCCGGACCCAGCCCATGCGGAATATCATGGGTTTCTGAAATGAGGGGTACCTGATTGGGGTCCTTACTATAAGGTGGATCCTACTATTTGGATGTTTGTATTAGGGTTCCCTTATTTTCGTAAACTCCCATATGGTTCGCAGTAAGGACCCCTGTTTTCCAATAGAAGGATGTTCAAGGTATGTTCTTTGCAACTTCGTACTGCGTCCGGAACCCCGACAACCCCTCTCTCCAAATCCGCATTGAACTCCCCAGGCCCGAAGCCCTTAGCCTGACTAAAGCCTTCCTACCCCAAACCCTGAACCCTAAACCCGAACGCTTAAACCCTAAACCCTAAACCCCTGCTTCCATCAGAGGCCCATGAGAAGACGCGTGAAGACGATAGCCAGGCACGCGCGAAGATGGGGGGGGGGGCGATAAAGGGACCTGAGTCGGCCTGAGTCTGCCTCTGGGGGGCTTCTAGAGGTTTTGGGGTTTGGGGCGCCGGTTTTTAGGTGTTAAGGGTTTCGGGTTCAGGGTGTAGGGTTTCGAGGTTTCGGGGTTTTAGGGTTTTAGGGTTTTTAGTTGGCGAAGTTGCACGGTAAGCTTTTCTGTAACCACCCGCTGTTAGGGTTTAGGGTTTAGGGTTCAGGGTTCAGGGTTTAGGGTTTAAGGTTTAGACTTAGTTTTCATAAACCGGTTGAGGCAGACTTTGGACGAAGTAGGCTTCTAGGGTTTGCACCTCTGCACCCCGTGCAGCAAGCTGCTTCTTCGATTTAGGGTTCGAGGCCTGCACTTGTCGTGCTAGGCTTCTAGGCAGTTCTAGGCATAGATGAACCTGCAAAGGGTTGTTTCCAACAAAAGTGTACCCTTTAATACCCCTCGAAAATCGGATAATCCGCCCTTAGTAGGAACACTCGCCCCCCAAAACAAATCAAAAGACTTATTGTTGGGTTTGGGCTGCTTGATTTAGAGAGGACTTAGCGCCGAAAGCCATCCGCGGGCGAGTTGTGTTTGAGTTGAAATTCACGGTTTACGGGTTTAGGCCATGAAGCCACAAGCTGTCCCCGAAGCTATAGTTACTCTATTTACATCTGTATTTCAATTTCAACTTGCAAACTGCCCATGAACCTCCCCCACCCCCAGCACCCCCCGAACAGACCGCCACGAGGTAGTCCTCCTCAACATGAGCCTGGAGACCGCCATTCACAGTGGCGACACTGTCCAGGCAAGTAGCCAAACCCATAGCCCCCAAAGCCCTGACACCATAGCCACAAACCCAAAACGCAAAACATCAAGCCCTAAACCCCGAATCACTAACCTGCACCTCGCAAGTCCCTTAAAACGGCTTGAAAGACTACCCTAAGTGCCCCCAGCAGCTCGGGTTCTCCCGTAGGATGTCAAAACCTATCCCAAATCCCTAAACTCCAAACCCTAAACTCAAGGCCTCGGCCGCCCCCCATGGCGCAAGCCCGACCCAGATCGTTCCCGCCTCCCACAGCTCCAAGGCTGGAAGCACCCACGATGGGTTCGGTACCCTGGACCAGCACTGGTCCCGTAGAAAAGTCATGACCTAAACCAGGAAGCTCAAGGCTTCTGGGCTGAAGAAAGGGTAGACCAGGCCAGGCGGCTCCCGGACCACTCGCCGCAGCGTCCCCAGGACCAGTCGGCTCAGCTGGAGGAGGTGCTTCTTGAGCCTTACACGCGACAAAAGGCCTACCCCTGACAGCCTGCCCGAGCTGCTCTTCGCACCTGACGAAGCTTTCGATCTAACCTTCACAGCATCTGCGCCTTTTTACAGCAAACCCTAAACCCTAAACCCTGAACCCTAAAGCTTCGGATTCGGGTCTATGGGCAATCATAGGGACCCTCGGAGCTCCTGAAAGGGTACCCCCCTTCTGAAATTGGAGGGAGTACACCTGGACACCGATGTTTCTGAGGTCTCGTGTCTAGGATTTCGGATGTAGAGTTGAAAGCCCCTTTGAGCCCCTAAGGCCCCTTTGAGCCCTGGAGCGAGGCTCGACGTTTGCTGGAAGAGAGGGCCAACATCGAGAGTCCCAACACTTTTGGGCGCACGCCACTCCAAGAGGCCTGGGGTGGGAGGGGGGGGGGGGTTCAGCGTTCAGGGTTTAGGGTTGAAGAGTGGAGAGTTTAGGGTCCAGGGCGTACGGTTTAGGGTTTAGGGTAGAGGGTTCAGGGCGGTTGCAGCGAGTACCAGGGTTTCAGCTCAGGGTTGGGGGCTTCATCGCGTCCGACAAGGCGAGCTTGCGTGCAGTTTAGGCCCCCTGGAGGGCTATCTTGGGATTAAAAATGAAGCTTGAGAGTATGGCGCCCCAAACACCAAACCTCAGCAGCTTCTTTGCTATTCGGGGGACACTTTACCTCGTGTTTCTCATGCGTAAACAATCGCTCGCATGGAAGGCGGCTGGAAACGGACACGTGGAGCTCGTGAAGATGTTGCTGGAGCTTTACTGGGGATCTTGGGAAGGTAGATACAAGAGGGACATCATTCTGTGGGGGTATATGACGGAGGTTTTTTTGGGGTGTCTTTTCTTTTTGTTTTTGGGCATTGTTTTTATTTGTTTCTCTCTGTTTTTGTTTGATTAATCGATTTTCCTGGGTTCACCTAGGAAAACCTCCATTCCCTGTATATTTTCATAGGATTTGGTCCATGTGCTTGGTTAGGAAGGAAGGAAGGAAGGAAGGAGGGAAGCAAGGAAGGAAGGAGGGCAGGAAGAAAGGAAGGAAAGAACGAACGAAAGAAAGAAATTAATATGTACAGAAAGAAGAACAAAATCAAAGAACAAAGGAAGAAATCAAAGAAACAAGAAGAAATCAAATAAAGAAAAATGAAAGAGATCAATAAACCAAAGAAGAAGAAATAAATAAGTCAAGAAATCGAAAATTGAGGAAGGAAGAAAGAATGACAGAAAGAAAGAACGAACGGAAGGAATAATTAAATGATATTGTATACATAATAATGACATAATATATATATATATATACAATAAATAAATATAAATATAAATATAAATATAAATATGTATATATATATATGTATGTATGTGTCTTCTATTCTATTCTACTCTATTCTATTATACAACATTATATTACATTATATGGGTGTAATCTGGTATATACGGTATATGATACAGTATATGTAGTATACACATATATACAGTATATATATATATATACACATATTTGCAGTTTTTGCACATTTTTACAATGTATACATACAATATAGCTTATATATGTACAGACACACACATATGTAAATTTTCGTTTATAACCTTTGATGTAGTATGTATTCTACATCATCTATTGTATAAACTTAAGCCATATATGTATATATACATATATATATATATGTATTTCATGCTATGTAGCACATATGAAGCAGGGTTTATATTTCTGTTATTGGTGAGTGTATATAAGGTTCCTTTTTAATATTGGTGAGTGTATATACCTGTGTCCTTGTGGGGGTACAAGAAATATAAACCCTGCTTCATATGCATATATATATATACACATATATATATATATGTAAATATAATTAACAACAAATACATTTACGATAACAACAAGTAAATAAGTAACGAATGAAAGAAATAAGTACATAAGTAAAACAATGAGAAATGAATGAACCAATTAATGAATAGAGTATGTGTGTGTGTATATATATATATATATCTATATATGTAATATCAGACAGTATATATTGTATATCAGATATCGACCTACTAACATCCTGCCAAAAGTAGTACGGTTCCTCGTACAATATAAAGGGACGAGAGGTTTTTTCTGAAGAAAACTAGTAGGATTCCTATTAGCATATAGTGGGAATAGAGTTTCTGAGGCAACTCAGAGGTTTCCTAAGAAAACCAAGAGAATCGACCAACAAGAAAAAAACAAGACCCCCAAAAAAAGAAAAAGACCCAAAAAGCAGGTCCGCATGCTACCTGAGGTTTACGAATCTTCGTAGTGCTTTGATCTCATCTAGGGTCCCTTCGGTGCGAAGGGTACCCGTGTATCGAAGTCCAGGCAATAAGGCCCTAAACCCTCCAACGCTAACCCCCACCAAAACGCCGTTTGGAGACTGCCCTCCCGCGGAGGACCGGGGCGCCAACATCGAGGCGCAAGGTGAGGAAGGCGTGGTCATCAACACCTCCTGAAAAGGATCATTCTGAGGTTTTTTAATGCCGCCGCAATCCATTGCGATCCCCTATGTGTTTAGATATGTTGACCATCTAAGAAATCAGGACTTCAAGGACGTCGTGAACGTGAATTTCGGCTTTTCAAGGGTTTCAAGGCTTCTACAGGCAATCGCGGGTTTCCAAGGGTCATGAGAAGGTGTAAGGGTTTTGATGTGTTTTCCCACTTTGAAGCGGTAAAGGAGTCTTTTGGTTTTGCCTAGCTCGCCTCTAGCCCATGTCTGCGAGGGTTTAGGAGTCAGGGTTTGGGGGTGAGGAGTTGGAGTTTAGGGGTTCCGGCTTCGTGGTTTTCTGCCGCTGTGCGGGAAAACGCCGTAAGCCCTCCACCCTGAATCCTCCCGTGCCCGAGGGCTTGTCTTCATTTCTCATATCGTCTTCCGTGCGACGCCTTCTGTGATCCGGCTGCACCGTTTAGAGATTCAGAGGGCATTGATTCGAGGGACCTTGGAGGCACGTGCGGGTTTAGTTTCAAGGTTCGGGCCTAGGTCAGGTTGCTGGAAAGTGGTGCTGCTGCTCTTGCAAGCCTGTCAACCTTGGACCAATAACCTCGCGTGGAACTATAAGAATGCCGCTTAGGAGAGGGCGGCCTTCTATGGTCGCCTCGACGTCTTCAAGATCCTTCGGGAACGTGGGGCTTCTGTGTCGCTTGGATGTTCGGCTATATCAGGATGAGGAGGAGCACAGGTTGCTAGGACCGGGTTTCCGGTCCTAGTAAGGGTATGATTGAAGCGCAGAATCTTCTGCCTCGGATGCTGTTTCGCAGCCATGCCACAGCTGTCATCAACTTGTGGGGTGCGGAGAGAGTGTGAAGCTTTTGGGTCTCCATTAGTGTCTGCTCCGTATCGCCTCTCTGCTGTTTTGGGGGTTTGGGGGGGGTCAAAGCTTGTGAGGTCTGTGAAGTCGCTGACGTTTCTGCTGCGTGGCGAGGGCCCAGGCTACACACAGGTGGTGGAGTCGTTGCTCGAGGAGGCCGGTTTGGTTGCCCTTGAAGGTTTACGGCGCAGGGTTTTCCGGGTCCCGTTTTTTCAGAGGGCTTGTATGTAGATGTTGTTGAGGAGCTGTTTTTGTGGCCTGGCTTTGTCCATAGGCTTGCTGTGTCGGGAAGTTTTGGGGCCTGATTTGAAGGTTCATGGCCTTTGGCAAGTGGAGCACCCTAAAAAGAGCCCTGGCATAGATACGCGCCCGGTAACCTCCGAGGAGGATGTCACCGGGTTAGGGGGTGCCCGTCAGTTGAGCTCCAGCGTTCAACTTAAACCCTAGACCCCCTAACCCCCCCTAAAGCCACCCCTGACACCTTAAACAGCTGGCAGGCAAGCGTTAAGGTGGGGCAGGCGAGGCTGAGGGAGCACCTCCGTGTGCTCCTGATGCCCGCCGTGCTCCTCGAGGACTGCAGCCTGGTCCCCGTGTGTGTGTGTGTGTGTGTGTGTGTGTGTGTGTGTGTGTGTGTGTGTGTGTGTGTGTGTGTGTGTGTGTGTGTGTGTGTGTGTGTGTTTGTTTTGGGGGCGGGGGGTGTGGGGGGACGTGGGGAGGGGTTGTGCTCCAAGGTTTGTTTGGGGATGTGTAGGTTGTGGTGGCCGCCTTGCCGTAGTTATCATGATTGCATTGTGGCTCATGGTACCGATCTCCCAAGCCCTGAACGTAAGTTCGGGGGCAAGTTGCCATTAGACGGTCAGATTCTTCGAGCATCGCAAAATTATGTCGTGATTCTATGGTCAGTTCTCGAAAACAAGGTCCCTTTCGACTCCCCTTGTGAAAAGGTCTTGCCTATGTTCTTGTATGACAACCTGATCTGATCTTCCACTCTTCGGTTAATCTTGGTACATTGCTACTTGAAGGTTCAGGGGCAGCTTTCGGCAACTTCCCGACCTACAACCCCAGTTCTAACTACCCTAAGCCCTGAACCCTGATCCTAACACACAGGAGCTGTTTGATTCCCGGAGCTCGTTGGGCCGTATAGCTCCTGAGGGTCAGGGGCTTGTGGGTTTACGAGCTACAGTGGCTATGACATAGTGGCCTGCCCAAACACTAAACTCTGAACCCTGGAGGGGCCCGGCCTCATTTTTGTGAATGCTGCCCAGAGTGTGAAAGAGCAGAACCTTCTCCATGCCAGATCCCCGGATATGTGGCAGTATCGGGTTCGAGGATCTGTCAGAGTATCGGGTTCGCCTTCGGCCGTTTTGCGGGTTTCGAAATTTGAGGGGTCCGCTTTTGGGTTCCCTTTTTTTTGGGGGGATACCCTGAATATAGGCGAGTGGGTTCGTAGTCCTTACATCACCTCCGAGGATGGCAGGGGAGAGGGCGATCATCGGATGACACTTGGGGGGTTCCCGAACTTAGGGGGGTCCCTTTTACGTTGTGTGTTCACTCTTTACCGGCAACTTCAATGGCGAGAGCCCCTCCAGCCTGGAGGGGCATCTTCAGCACCCCAGATATCTAAAACGCACCTTAACCCGTCATCCTGCTCCCCAAAACCCCAAGCCGTGTAAGTTCTAAACCGCACCTGCCTACTGGGTAACGCACGTAGGTAACCGAGTTTCAGGTAAGGTTGGCGTGTGGGGCTTAGGGGTTCTAAGCAGGGCAACTGTAGCATAACCTCATGTGAGGGTGCTTCTGTCCCTACCTTCTAGCTACTCATGAACCCAAGTACACACCCAAAAGCCCTAAACCCCAAAATCTTGTGGTTGGCATGTTGGCCCTTAGGGGAACATCCCAATCTTGTTGGCTTGAGGGTTTGGAGTTCAGGGCTCGGGGCGCCTTGTTTTGTAGGACTAAAGACAGCAGCTCCGTCTCCTCAGGCTTCAAGATGGCTCTGCGAGTTCTTTGTTTTTTTTTTTTTTGCTTGGAGGGGGGGGGGGTTTCGGTTTTAGGTTTAGGGTTTAGGGTGTAGGGTGTAGGGTCTAGGGTTTAGGGTTTAGGGTTTGGGGTTTGGGGTGGGGGGTGGGGGGTGGGCAGAACAGGGCGAACAGGGGTTTTAGGGGCGGAGAGAGCCTCAAGACCTACAAGCCATGCATTGACTCTTTCCCAACTACCTACGGCCCCTGAATGATGTAGGCGTAGCTCGCAGGTCCACAGAGCCTCAGACCAAAAGTTGTGCTCCTAAATCCCAAACCCGAAGCCACAAACCCTGAGCCATACACCCCGAAGCCTCTGCCAAAACCCAAGAAGCGAGGCTGCAGAGGTCAGTGCTTCGCTTTGGCGAATGCCGTTCTGGGCCCCGGAGGTGTGCGACAGGCCGAGTGTGGCGTTTAGGGTGATTCGTAGGTTCATGGCTAGGTAAAATAGGAAGGTTATAAGTATTCCTAAATGATGTCACAGCCTTACTAGAGTTACTAAGCCCAGCTATGACTACCCATGTTTCTCCAAGTGGGTTCGGTAGGGGAGTCTGGGAGTTGAGAGGACGGTGCTGGCTGCAGTGGCAGAGACCGCAAATGAAGAGACTTGGCCTTACAGTCTTCAACTGACCAGCTCTCTAAGTCATCGCCTACTTTTTGGCACCCTATATAAAGGTCCGCCTCAAATCAGGATCCCCGCAAGCTGGCCAAAACGTAGAGAATTGACCAGCTTTTTGGGACGACGTTCGGGGCAACCCTCAAAAAGGCTTTTGATGTGAGCTGTACTCAGACTTGCCAAGTGACGCGTTGTGTTGAAAACGATCGAAGCTCCGAAGCCTGAAGCCAAGGAGATCGTGGCCACCGACACCGTCGATACACTGATATCCACGGCATGGCTTCTGATGCGTGCGTCGACGGCGACGGAGAGCCAAGAGGGTTGGTTATCATGCAGATTTTTTTTTGGGCTTGGTGGTCGGGGTTCGGGGTCCAGGGCGTAAACAGACTGTGAGCATGGGGTCTCGTTCTCGCAGGACATATTTCTGGGCATGGGAAGCGTGACCTGCTTGTGCCTCGTCACCTATGCATACCGCTACGGGGGCGTGGACGCCCTGCTGGCGCCTCAGCCACTTTTCCAAGGCCGCCCTTGGCAGTGAAAGTGCAAGGCTTCGGGTTTAAATCCTAGAGGTTCGGACGCCCTAAACTCGAGGCCTTGACAGGGGCGGGGCATGCGTCTGGCGGCTGCTGCCGGTGCTTTCCGACTTTTCCCCGGAGGGTTGTATCTCATCGTAGAGAGAGCTCCTGTGGATGCCACAAAAAACCTGGAGACTTGTAGTCTGCCCTCCCACCGAAAGCTTAGAAGCCTCAAGAGAAGGCAACGACTTCCTCAAGCAAGCCTAAACCATGAACCCTAAGCCCCCACACTCTCAACCCCAATCTCTAAGCCCTGAACCTTAAACCCTAAGCTTTAAATGCTGAGCCCAAACCCCAAGCCTCTAGCGAGGCCCGCGCTGTGGATCATGGGTACTATCCACACCAAGGAGGCCGTGGAGTGGGCATCACAGGCCGACTGCTTGTTCCGGAGCTTCTTTCGTCCCTGGGGTTCGTAGTAGGGAATGTGGGAATGAGGGCCCTATATATAGCCTTTAAGCGATTATATAGACATGATACAGGGCCATCATTCCCTCATTCCCTGCTAAGAACCAGCCAGTCGTCCACGGCTGAAGATGTTCGGGGCTGAATGTTTAAGGTGGGAAAGCGTGCTCCGTGTTGGGCTGATTAAACTCTGTGTTCTCTCAACGCGGCCTTGACTCCGACATTTTGGGGGGTTAGTAGCCCCTCATCTTGGTTAACTTCGCTTTGACTGTAGACGTTCATGAGTATTTTCAAGCAGGTTTCAGAAGCATGCCCAAGTGGGGTTTCCAAGAATTGGGGGTACTTACTTTAGGGTTCCGATAATCAGGATTGCAGCTTTTTTGGGTGCAAGGGTACGCCCTATTGTGGGAAATGCACTGTAGTTGGACTTATCAGGTCCGTCTCTCTGCATTTTGTTTTGAACGGGGGGGGGGGTGTGTTGCAGATAGCATCAGCGCGAGGGACGATAAGTTTCTTGTGCTGGAGCACGTCTTAAAGCCGTTGCCGGGCGGGGCCTGAAGGCCGGGCTTCCTCTCGGAGCAGTTGGAGGTTCTTGTGCAACCCCCCGTGCTATCAACCCCCACTCCGAGACGCTCTAATCCTTCACAACAAAACCGCAAAAGCCCACAAAGTGCCCGATCCCTGCCGCCCTCGAGGCCGCGTCGTTCTTCTGGGGCCGCTGTTGTGGTGTCGTGAGTGCTTCCCTGGGCCTGGAGTCCTTGGCCGACTTGCTGTACATCGTAGCTGGGTACATGGCCATAGCACGGCAGATGGAGCAGGAACAGGACCTGGAGCAGGCCCTAAACCCTAAACCCCTAAACCCCTAAACCCCTAAACCCCTAAACCCCTAAACCCCTAAACCCCTAAACCCCTAAACCCCTAAACCCCTAAACCCCTAAACCCCTAAACCCCTAAACCCTAAACTCTAAACCCTACACCCTACACCCTAAACCCTTATCCCTAAACCCTAAATCCTAAGCCTGAGCCTTAAACCCTAAACCCTAAACCCTGAACACTAAACTCTAGATGTCGTGTTCCATCATGGAGCAGGTGTTCCTGCCGCTGTTCTCGGCCATGTCATGGCTCCGGCTCATGTACAGCCTCCGGGGCGAGAGGTGGCTGGGACCGCGGCTGCTGCCCATCCTCTCCGCCGTGCGGGATACCTGGGCCTTCTTCCTTGTGACGGTGCTGTGTCTGGCCGCTGCGACCCATGCCTACTTCATCTTGAACCCAAGAGGAGAAGACCCACTGCCCATCTACTCTTCCTTTACACAGACGGTGCGGCTGGGCATCTTCGGAGACTTCGACCTCTTCGAGTACCAGGGGCAAGATACCACCTTCGCGGTAGGGGACAGTGGCGAGTGGGAGCCGAACGATCCGGCCCCGGAGGATCTGGGGCTCTTCTCCTACATGTACCTTCAAGTCGTCTTCTTTGTTACGGGCGTGGGGATCACCATCTTGCTCATGAACCTGCTCATCGGCGTCCTGGGCCAGAACTACGAGATCCACACCGATCGGGCCCAGGTGCTCTTTGTGCGCGCCCGGGCCCGGATGCTCCTGGAGCACCGGGGCAGGCCTTGGGCCAAGCTCAGCCGCAAGCTGGCCGCCTGGGCCAAGGAGGCCAAGGAGAAGAAGGAGGCCAAGGAGAGCCAGGAGGGGTCCAACTCCGAGAAGCACGACGCGCTCGCACCGGTGAGCAGCTTTCACTGGGGCATGGGCATGGTGGCACTCTTGTCCATGCTGCCGATCATGTTCATCATCGGGGCACAGAGCTGGGATGCTGTCTTGGGCCCGGTGCGCCTCGCGCTGATGGGGCATCGAAGCCTGGCTTTCGTAATGTTCCTGCTGCTGGGAAGCCCTGTAACATACTTTTCTTTCTGGTTTCTTTCTGGTTTCTGGGATCTATGCAAGAACAAAGGGGTTGGCACCCCTTTCTAGAAGTTGGTTCCTGAGCTGCGACCGAGGCTTTCGCCGGTTGTGCTGGCGCTCTCCGTTGCAGTGGCTTTGCCCATGATGCTGCTCGCGTTGGGCCTTAGCCTCATGGGCTTCCAGCTCTCTGGCCTTCAGTACGCCCTGAACCTCACGGTCTTTGGAGTGTTCCTGGGCCGGAAAATCGATGCGCCTTCAGATTTCGCATGTATCCTGCTCGAAGGTTCACGGGTTCCTGCATCCTCAAGGAAGGTCATACTCGCGCTCACCTTCAGGTATAATTGGCCCCAGCTATATATATATATATATATATATATATATATGTCCAATGAACCTTCAAGTCATCGCTGCTGAGCAGGTTCGGGGCCAACCCTGCCTCCGAGTGTACCATCTTCGCGATGGTCCGGACCGAGTCGGGTGTCGACGAGCTGCGGGGCATGCGGAGCGATCTCAAGGACGCGCGGAAAGATCAACCAACTTCAGAGATGAGATTAGTCCATTGGGGTTCAGGGTTTGGGGTAGTTCAGGCGAGGGCTTGACAGAGTGGTATTGCGCCATGGAGGCTTCAGGGTCTCACTCAAAGATGCTTCCGTGCTTTCCGAGACCCTTGAAGGACAAAATGCTGAGGCTGGAGGAGGTCCTGCAAAAGCAGCACAAGGACCACCAGGCCGGCGGGCGGCTCGCGATGTGTAGCTTTATATATATATATATATATATATATATACAGATGTATATATGTATGTATGTATGTGTATATATATATATATGTATATATATATATATATATATGTTTTTCGTCCCCTCATGCGCACTTAATTAGGGTCAGAGGGCCGTCTTTTGAGGGAGTTGAAGGAATCTTCAAGGGTATCCGGAGGGTCTGGGTGGGGTTCAGGGTGTCGGATGAGCCGCATCCACAGAAAGCAGCACTCCTGTGATAATTTCGTGGGCAGGGTCTTGGGGGCCTTCTCCCGGGGTTTGGGTCAGATCCTATGTGTGTCCGAAAAAGGCTCCGCACAATGACACGGACCCCCCCCCCCCCCCCAAAAAGGCCCAGCACTTTCAGAAGGTTTTTCGGTTTGGGGTGGCTGCTGTTTCGGACCCATAGCAGCACATGCATATCCGTGGCTTGGGATAGTCAGAGAGGGAGAAGAGCCTGTTGAGCTTGACTCTCGTCCGACCTTGCCCGACTTAGGAGGTGTAGCATAAGTGGGAGCTCCGTCGATCTTGAAATACCACGACTCTTAGATAATGCCATGTTGCTTATTCAGTGAGACTGAAACTCGCATCATGTGAGCTTTTGACATACTGATGCCTCTTTGGCATCTGACCTGTGCAGAAGATATGATCAGGTGGGCAAGAGCAACATAATCTGCATATGCAGCAAAAAGACATCCACAGCAAGCAGACATACTCGTACTTTTCTTTCTTTTGACTACCGAAGCAGATGCTTTCCGTACTGGGACAACATGGCATCATCCCTGATTGGCCCAACCAAACCCCCGAACATGAATCTCCACAACTACAAGGGGGATTGTTCTACACTTTGTTTTAACTATATACTCGAGCGCGTGTTCCCCCCAACCCCTACATCCCTCTTGTGAAAGGAAAGCCTGGCCGAGCACAAGGACGCCTGCCGATGAATCGGGGATCAGGGCTGGCAACTTCAAACCCTAGTCTGGCTCTTTCAGGGTTGCGAGGGTTTGGATGGAGGGCGGGGTCTTTGCCGAAATACCTCCGAAGCATAATCGTCCGTTATCACAGGAACGTCCAAAAGGGAACCCCCTCGCCCTCAAGTGCGTGTAGGACCTGAGGCCTTCAAAGCATTTTGTCTTCGTCGTTGTACATCACCTTTGTTGGTTCCATTGAGAAGCGGCCATAAACATGCTAATCTTGATAGGGGTTCCAAGAACGGGTAATTTGCAGAATTTTGGTGTTTTGGGCTGCTTGAGGTTCAGCTTTGTAGGGGTGTAGAGTTCCGAGGCTATAGTAGGGTTTTCTTCAAGCCTTAAGTGTCTATACCCTACACTGGGGTGTAGGGCCTTGTGTCGGAGGGCACAATACGAAGCCTGGAAGAGAAAGTGGACAAGCTGCTGGCGCTGCTCGCAGGCGAGTTTTTGGTACCAGTAGGACCCGTTACGGCCTGTTGCTAGTTAAGGGGTATGGGCCTCCCTGAAACCAGGCTTGGGGTTTAGAGTTTGAGGTTTCGGGAGAGAGTTCCGGGTTCGGGTTTCAGAGTTCGGGGTTTAGTCGGCCTAAGTTCAGGGTTTTTAAACTTGTATCTGGGGAATAGGGAAGGCTATCGGGAGATTTGATGTTTTTCTTCTGGCTGAAGAGCATTTTGTGAAGAACTGCTTCTCAGAGGCTTTGAGAAACTTCTCGGGGTTTTGTTCCCCACCCTCGGTGTGGGGTTGTTAGAGTTTAAACTCAGCTCTTCTCCTCGCCCGGAACTCTTCTCCTCGCCCGGTCTACTCCTCGCTCATCCCTGGAGTGCCCAACCCCGGAGTGTGCCTGGAGTGCCCAACCCCAGATTGCCCTGGAGCGCCCAGCCCCAGCGTGTCCCTGAAGTGCCCAAACCAAGAGTGTCCGTGGAGTGCCCAACCCCAGGGTATCTCTACCCAGAGAGGCTGGGGATGTTCGGAGTGAAATAGTTGAATTCTGGGACTCGAGTTAGTCGGGATTTCCACTGGCTTCCAGGTTTTTGCTAGATTGTTTTTTTTGTTGGGGGTTGTCTCGTCAGCTAGGGGCGGTGAGGAGACATATTTGGGCAAAATCAAAGAGCTTCGGGAAAGACAACCCCAACGTGACACTTTAGCGGGGATTCCCTTGCCCCCAAAGCTCGCATCTTGCCAGACCGGCCATGAGCTACTGGAGACGACGGGTCACGACGCCATTGGCCTGGAGTTGCGGCGCTCTAGAAAATTGGGGGGCGTCTAGGGTTTGTAAGGTCTTGGGCTCAGGAATTAGGGGGTGCAGGGTTCAGGGTGCAGCGGGCTTAGGGTGGAATCACGGGTGAACCCCCGACATGTAGCCATGATGGCAGCCAAACTTGCAGCCCCGGCCCTACACCGGAAGTTTCGCGGGAGCTTTGCATGGTCAGGAATGCATGGACTGGGCAACGCATATCAGCCATCAACCTTTACTAGGGGTCTCAAGTAGGGATCGTCGTAAAGCTTTCTGGTCTGCAAGTCACACAAATGGCTCAGCGCCGGAATGGACGACATGTGAAGCGGGGAGGGAGACGTGAGTTTGTCCCAAGTCTTGGTTTTGGGTCTACATAAAGGTTTAGGGTAATTACTGTTTGGCCGAAACCATGCGTGTTCTGAATCTCTTGCATGAGGTTGCAAGTCAGGTAGACCCAAACCGTCCTGCTCGTATCATCAGTGCCCACAAGCCTCCCCCGAGGTTATACCAAGCTCACTTCACAACGACCATCGACGAACAGGCCTGATGAGGGACCTGCATGAATCTGTCAGATTCGGTTTTGGGCTATGCAGGCTGCCGACCAGTTCCTGAGGTCTGCATCCCGATTCCACGGCTTCCGCAGATGTACCCAAACGTGCTCACCAAGCTTCCCGCTCCTTTCGCCGCGCATGGCTGGTATTGTGGGCACCATGCCTCCAGCCGCAGAGCTGTGCGCTCGCCAAGCGGGGTCTCCAAGGCGGAAGCCATGAATCTGGAAGTGCGGATAACCTCGATACTGGGAAAGAGGAGTGTTTTACAGAGACCACAATGATTCGAGCTTGTCAGGGACGGCCGTGCGCCGGCGGAAGGGGAGTGCTCACGCAGTGGGCAGAGTTTATCTGTGCTTGGGTGGTTCAGTTCATGTTTCTTTTTGATTTTGCTACTGCTTTCGGTCTACTCCACGAGCATCCATCCCCAAAAGTGTCCACCAAGTGCCCGGAAAGTTCTCAAGCATCGCTTTGTGGCTCCCTGGGCGCTTCAGAACCGGTGACTGGAGAATGAAAGGATCCCGGAGAGCCAAGCTTCTCCAACTAGGTAGCCCACAAAATCTCTTAAAAGGGTTAGGAAGGGTTTGGGATGTCCTCCCTTATGCTAACAGTTACAAACATTCCTTAATTGGGATAACTAATCGGGGGTACTCTCATCCCTATTGAGGACTGTTAGTATAAGGGGGAACCTCCCAAGGTAGGGTACCGACTCTCCCAATTCCCCACTGCGACCCAGTAAGGTTGGGTTTACGGTTTTCGGCTTTAGAGAGCCGCCCTCCGCACATTAGCCGTGTCTTTCGCGTCCCTGTTTGGTGTCCCAAACCCGAAATCCTAAACCTTAAACCATAAGCCCTAGCAACCCCCACAACGGCCCCCCCAACTGAAGGAAGCTCCCAAAGTCCAGGCGCAGCTGCCGACCAGGCTCAAGACGCCCGGGCCTCAGGTGTCTGGCGCCCTCTCAGCCCTGAATTTCGCAACCCTAAGACCCCTAAACCCCTGAGATCCCATAAACCTTGAAACCCTACCTGAGTAGTCATAAGTAGGGTTATGAATATGGCAATGCCCAGGCCTCAACATTCTGAGAAACCCTTAAAGCAACTTAAGCCCTTAGTCCTCAACCCTCAATGCACTAGACCCAACACTCCTTGAGCCCAACCATTCAGTAATTATGCCGAATTCGGGTTTGAGGTGCACGACCCAGTGCAGACAACTTGGAAGTGCAGGCTGAGGATTTCAGCAAGTTCCTTCTTCAAGAGATGGCATAAGAACTGCCGAACGTCGGGTTTCGGCTGTAGGATTCAGGACGGAAGGAGGAGAATGAACAAAGGCCGTAAAGCATCAGTAGACTCGGGTTTTTCCCGAAAGCTTCAGCGAAGGGTTCTTCGGAAAAAAGAACGTTCGCCCAAGCACACCAGCCTACCACCACCACACTACCATCACCACACTAATCACTACGCTACCACCACCACACTACCACCACCACACTACCATCACCACAGTACTATCTCAGCTGCATTGCTTCTGTACGCTGTCTATGAAATTCTCTCTTATTTCTTAGGCTGGGGTGGGTTTCGCCGCGGCTAGCGCGATGCAACCCTCTGCGGGGATCGTGCGTGTCGGAGCGCTCCCGCTGTGCGTTTTTGCGTGTTCTTGAGTGGTCTGTTGAACCCTCTGACCCCACACCTGAAACCCTAAACCCTAAACCCCAAACCCTGAACTGTAGACGCCCTGATCGGAACCACAGAATCACAGTCGCCACCGAGGAGCCGAAGGCAACCGTGCCGCCACTGCTTGGGCCCTCTAAGGGCTTCCCAAGCCTGAAAGATCAGGGGCATAGGGTTTGGGGTTTAGGGTGTAGGGTTTGGGGTTGAGGGTTTAGGGTTTAGGGCAGCGCCCCCTAACCTGAAAACATTCAGCCCTCAGCCCTAGATGAAATACGCAAAGCCCTCATAGTCAGTTCTCTAATTCGTTGTTCTCAACTCTTCAGACCACTGTTTTCATGCAGTTCCTTGTCTTCTGAATGCCCCAGTCTTCAGAGCAGCTGACAATCTCTCAGTCCGCTCAACTAGAGCGGGCGAGCGGCCTTCGCAGTGAGATTGCCCACTGCACACTGCCTGGGGAATACCGCCGGCCGAAAAGAATGGCGCGATGCTCGCATTCCTCAAGTTTTGGGTGAGAGGTTTTCGGTCGAACGCAGCAACGAAGACCATGACAGGCTCCTTCTTTGTCGGTATGCCCTGAACACCCAAAGCCCAAATACCATCCGGGCCAGTCAGTGGTATCGGCTGCGTTTCTTCCTTTTGTTCTCAGGTTTAACCCTACTACACCCTAAACCAGCCCATTAAAGCCCCTGAACCTCAAACCCTCAGCCAAAGCCTTGAAAGCCCCTGAACCCTGCAACGCAGAATAGAGTGAACACCACAGACCCCTCTAACACACCCCAACAAAAAGCAGTCGTTTAGCCCCTAGCGGCCCGTGGTAACTCCCTAAGTGCCGGTACGCCCTGAAGCCCTCAACCTCTCAACCACCAGCCGGTGCACCCGAATTGTGGTGGCAGGCCCCCACAAAGGGCTCAGAGCATGCGCGGCAGCTGTTTGGGATGGCCATGAGCCGCCGGCCCAGGTCATGGCATGTAGGGTTTGGGCCTGGAAGGTCGTTGAGGGGTTTCTGGGAGTGGCATCTCAGGAACTGTCAGGTGGGTACTTGTCTCTCCTGTGTGAGACAGCGGCCTTCCCCAAGTAAGCCAACCCTCAGGCCCTCAACGCGCAAGATGCGTCCGAATCGCTGTGCACACCGCTGCTTAGCAACAGCCGGCCATGTTCTCCCTGCATTGAATTCTGATTAGGGGCCATGACTTGGAGAGCAGCCAAGATGTCCAAGGCATAAACGCAAAGAGGAAATTGATGCCTGAGAAAGTCGAAAGTCCAAACCCCGAACCCTAGCAGCTCACAGCCTAAACCAACCTTCAACCCTAATCCCTGAAACTCTAAACCCTAAACCCTAAGCCTAAACCCTAAACCCTAAACCCTAAACCCTAAACCCTGAACCCTGAACCCTAAACCCTAAACCCCGAACCCGAACCGAGGCTGGGGCTCCAAGCTGGGCGCGGCCCGCTGTTGCAGTCCCTGGGCTGGGGCCCCGGTTGGGATTTTGGCAGTTTTCCGTGTGATTTTGTTGAAGCTTGGGGTTTGGGAGTTCGGGTTTACAGTCCTTCCCGGGGTGTTGTTTTGAGGAGGTTTGGGGGTTCTGGGCTGTTCTTTTGGTGTATTGGGAGGTTTGGGTGTGGTTTGGGGGTTTGCGGATTTGGGGAATCGGGCATTTGCAGATGTAGTAAGTCGTATTCCAGCATGTTGTTGTACGCAAAGTCATGAATGGATAGTTTAGAAAGATCGCTTGGACGTTGATTTTCGGTCGGAGGCTCCAGCTTTTCCATGTTGGTCTTGGGGTTGAGGTGCCAGCTTGGGGGGGGGGGGGAAGGGGGGGATGGGGGGGTGCGGGGAAGAGAGAGAGGGGGGGAAGGGGGGGGTGGATGATGTGCAGGGAAGGGTTTTGGGTTCAGGATTTGAGTCTAGAATTTCGGAGTTTAGGCAGCTTATGGCCTAGTTTATGGCCTAGCGTACCTTGTCCAACCTGACACTTGCATCCGAAGTCTCAACGAAAAGAGCCTAAACCCTGAGCTGGACAGCAACGGAATGGAATGTAGGTGGAGCCCGCGTGCCAGGCAGAACATTTTGTCCTGGAGCCAGCGATGTGATCCTGCTGGTCGCAAAAAGTGTTTGCATCCTTGGGGCTTAGATGTCCAGGGTTTAGGGCTTAGGGTCTCAGGGTTCATGTGTCGTCCAGCGTTTTGGGAGTGCCTAGACGGTGAAGAGGAACTTGCGTAGAGGCTCGAGGGCAGCGAACTAAACCTGGGGGTTTAGGGTTGATTGCGCATCCCAATTTGACATGCCGGAGAAGTGACTGATCCCGTCGCCTTTGGATGCGACACCTGAAAGCGGGACTCGAACACAGCCGCTACAATGGGGTGGTGCCGGCAGGGTCGGCGGATATTGGACAACCCCCGACTTCTCTTCTGTTGGCAGAAGAACACAGTGTCTGCGATGTTGGTACCACAGTCAGGGAAGTAGACTGATGGTCATCAAGGGCACGCAGGCAGGGAGGCAGGGGATACGGGGCTGACGGTCTAATCCCACTAGCTTTGACCCCCTACCACTTCTTCTTCATTCTAAAGAGCGTCTTGTCTTGCCGCATCCCACCATGGTCTGAACTTCATCAGCCTTGGACTCGACATTGTTAGAACAAAGAATCCCATTTGCTGCAAGTTGTGGTGTTATGGGTGCCCGCAGACTTCTAAGTTTGGCATTGCCGCAACAGTTGCAGCCGTTTTCTTCCGGCTGCCTCCTTACTGCCGCACCTGCGCACCAGCCGCAAGGACGGCAAAGAGGTTTTAAAGAGCAATTTTGCCCGACAATGTCTCGCAGTGCATTATTGGCATTGTGCGTCTGCTTCGCATGTGCACGGGCTGCAGCGACAGACGTCTGTGACGACGGCCATTGCGAGATTTCTGACGGCCTTGGCGATGGCTTCTACTATAGCTATGAGCTTGATGATGGCGGTACCATGTCGGACGTGGTTGACGAACAATTTGCACTCCTCCAGCGCAAGCACCAGGCAGAGACGACCCTGGCCACAAATGCGACCGGGAAGAGCAAATGCAAGTCATGCGTCTGCGGTTACGAGGAGGGGCTCTGGATTCCGATCAAAGGTAATTTGTAAGACGCCCGCTTCTTCGCGAATCGGGCCAAAATGTGGACTCTGTCTAGACACCACTTTATGTACATTGTGTCACTATTGCACACGGGCGGTCCCGATCCAGGGGTCTGCTCCTGACTGCAACCTATAGAGATTTTTAGACTCAAGCTCTGCTCAACGCTGCCTGGTCCCAAATTGAAACGCTGAACCATACGACCCTAAGCCTTCAGCACCAAAAGTCTTCAGCCCGAAACAGAGTTCAATCGTGTTGAAGCTCCAGACCAAAGCAGTCAGCTATACAAAGTCCGATGCAGCCACTCAGCCCTCAGCCCTAAAGGCCGGACTTTCGAACTTACTGAATCCCAACGCCGGCCCAGAACCTAAAGCCTCGATCCTGTACTTGCAGGTCCAAGGGCAGTTGTAAAGAAATTGACAAGTCTGGTAACTTTGGTCATAATTGTAAGTTAGGATACTTATAGTGTACGCTGTACTTCTAACCAGCCCTGGACCTCCAAGTAGCCTAAACCCTAAGTCCTAAACCGCGTGGCTCAAGACGCCAAATTCGAGCAGGACGATGTGGCCAAGTGCGGGAAAGAGCTGGTCACCAGCGCAACTCCGACCTTGGGGAGAGGGGGGGGCTTAGGGTGAAGGTTTCGGGCTTGGGGTGGGCTTAAGGGGACCAAAACAAACATAAGGATCCCCAAGATACAGTTTTGTTGTAGACCCCTCGGGTCACCTTCATCCCTTTTGTCGGCTTGCAGGGCTTAAGGTGGTGGATCATCCTCAAGCACTACATCTCACGCGTCGTCAGATGTAGCCCCTTTCAACTTCCCTGCTCGCTTGTCTGGTATGAGTCCTCAGCCTGCACTCCAAGATTACCAAGGCTGGCGCGGTTACCCCATCCCCAAAATGAAGGCCATGCAACAGTCAGAGATACTCGTAGTAGTTATAGGCTCTTCTGTTTTGGGGTTGGGGCCACCAGAATGACCATATTCTAACCCCAAAAGTAAGGATATGGCCATCATTCTCCAAAGTACCAGGTACGTGGAGCCTTCGGACCTATGGTTCCCCACCAGCCAAGGCAAAGAAGTGCGGGGAGAAGGTCGTGAGTTGCACCTGGGAGGCTCGGATGTTCCGGGCCCAAGCTCCGAATCAGGGGTAAAGGGTTCAGGGTTTAGGTGCCCCCTAAGTAATTTAGTTTAAAAGAGCTTCTACAACCTAATTTCTGTTCTTACGGCCCTTGTAACTAACCCTGTAACATGTGTCCTTTGAGTCGACCCGAAATGCCTGCAGCTTTGGGGCTTCGACCCTGCAAGGAAGGGGTTGAGATTCCCACGACCCCAGACACCCGCAGGTTTTTTGACCCTAAACCCCAAAACCCTATTAAAACCGTTAACTCTAAAGCCGGAACCCTAGGCCCTAAACCCTAAAGCCCTAAAGCCCTAAAGCCCTAAACCCTAAACCCTAAACCCTAAACCCTAAACCCTAAACCCTAAACCCTGAACCCTGACATGAAGGGGTTGAGACAGCTCAGCTGTACGCCTTAGGGGTCAGGGGTCCTGAGGCCTGAAGGCCATGGGCCTCACACTTGCTCCAAACGCGCCCCAAGTTCCCAAAATAGAAGGTACAATATGGCAGAATCCCCCTCATATAAGGACACCCAAAAAGGGACTCATAATTTCCGGAAGTTTTTCCAGTAGCATATTCGTCTTTTTTTCATAACCATGGCTATCATTGTTGCTACTGTTAGTATTTCCATTTTACTGTTTGTACTATTGTCATTATGACGGCTCCTATTACTACCATTATTACTATTATGATTATGATTATTACTATTATTATTATTATACATTAGTACAACTACTATTATTCTTTTTAGTCTGAGTATCATGATTACTCTGTTATTGTTGTTATTATTGCTATGAATGTTACTATTACCGTTACTAGTGCTATTACATTACTAGTACTACTTCTATGACTACTACTACTATTGCTTTTCCTATCTATTACCGTTACCATTACCATTATTAGCACCATTACCATTACTATTTCTACCACTATTTCTTTTACGAGTACGATTACCATTGCTAGGATTGGTAAGGTTTGATAGTATTTGTATGATTGTAGTATGCTATTTTTTATATTTCGGAGCCTGGAGCGCCCTTTGCTTTCCAAGCAGCTTAGCTTAGTGTCTGAAGACCCTGGACCCTACGCCCTCCACTCCGTGCCTGTACTGCGTAGGTGATGACGTTTGGAGTTTGGGACTGACGGTTTCAAGGCTTGGGTTAGGCTTGGTGTTAGGATGGCTCAGGGTCGTTTATAGGATTTAGCGATGTTTAGTGCGTGTGTAACGTTTGGGTTTCGAGGTTAATCCGGGACTTCCGAGACTTCTTGCAGGTGATCAAGGATGTTGCCAAGTGTGCAACTGGAAAGTGCAAGGTGAAGAAGTGCAAGAAGAAGGCGCGTGACTGCTGTCAATAGGATCTCCCGCAAATCATTCCACAGCCAGTCATCTCCGGCAACCAAGAATGAACAGACCATGGCGTCCGTTAAGGGTGGTGGTCTGATTTTGCAAATGTTGTGGTTTGTGAGATCCTAAACCCTAAACTCCTAAACTTGTAGCCCTTAGCAGTAGGCGAGTTTGGCCGAAGGCTCTCCAGTGCGAAGCACCAAAGAGTTGCTTCAAGGCGATCCCCTTCATGGACGCTTGGCTGCTAAAGGTTGCTAGGGTTTAGAGGGTTTCGAGTTTTGTTGAAGCTTTTCCCCGAGCTCTTACAATACATCCTACCATTCGTGTGAATTTCGTTTAGGCTTCTTGGCCCTTTTCCTGTTGAGGGAGCTGAAGCCGTGCCACGATTCAGCTAACAGCCAGTTAAGGACTGCTTGGACAACCTTGCAAAGGACAAGGGCGGCGACGTAAACGCAGCCATCAATGTCCTGAAGAGCACGGGGGAGACCGGGTACAAGGGGATGAAGAGCGTGGTGCTGAAGGGGATCCCGAGTGTTAGCAAACAGCTGGGCATGGGCTTAGCCGACCTCATGCCGAAGGAAGTGGGGAAGATGTTCACAAAGCAGGGTTGGGAGAACCTTCTGGACAGCTTTTTGGGGGCAGCCCAGGACATGGCGTACACAGCCTATGACGGCCTCATCACCGTCGGAGATGTGTTGGACAGCTTCCTTGACAAAGTTGCGAACGGCCCCATCACCCTGCCTCGAAACGCCGGGGACGGGGGCTGGTGCGTGTTCAAGTGGGACTTCACCATGTTCTGGTTCACGGACTGTGGCTACTTCGGCGCCGTGGACACACTCTGGGGGCACGTGGCGCAAGCTTACAACCCCAAAATGTGGGACAAGTTTGACGACGACTACAAGAAGATGGGGAAAGCACTGGCAGAATGCGCCACCCTCACCACCAAGATCGACATCGACAAGGGGCAATCCATCAAGATTGCCACTCCCTTTATGAGCCTTCAGAAGATGGACTTTTGCTTGCCTAAGACAGTGGTCTCCGGAGTGGAGGTCATCGCAAACGCCTTAGTCCTGGCCTACAAAGCCGCAGGCAAGGCCCTAGATCCAATTCAGAAGGCGCTCGATGATCTCGCTGCTTACGTGAAGAGGCTCATCTCCGACAATGCCCTCCTCTTCCAGGAGACCTTCAGCCTCCTCCAGACCGACTCCAAAGAAGGAGGCCTCCAGGGACTGCGCAGGAGCTTCATGTGCAGCAAGAAGAAGCTCGACCTGTCCTTAGGAATTGTTTTTAATATGTCTGTTCATTAGGCACCCAAAAGGTTGTCATAAACACATGTTTAGATATGGGCCCAAGGGGTTAGAGTCCTAGGTTGCCTAAGCCCTAACCCCCTAAACCAGGAGTGCAAAGTATAGGTTAATCTAGCGGGGTTGTAGGCCCTGAACCCTATAGCCTATAAACCGTAAACCCTAGGAAAAACATGGACAACTACGCATTCATGGCTCGACTTCAATTCTCGGTGGGCGTCAAGTGGAAGCACTTCAAGTTTCTGGGTTGCTGTTAAGGAATTTATATAAGTTAAGATAATATAAGGGGATATATATATATAAGGTTTTAGTGTTATAAGTTACTATACGATTAAAACAAAAACCCTATGAGTTACTATGTATCCACAATACAGTAACTTTAATTAAGTTTTTTTGCAGCAACCCAGGTTTGCGGGCCTGAACTCTGCGCAGGCCATCGGCATAGGTCTCTACTTCGGGTGCCTCAAAAGGCAGTTCAAGGCCCCTTGCGAGCGAAGCCTTAAAGAACCCCCCAACCCTAAACCCTACCCCATCATAGGGAAGCCTTAAAGGATAGGGGCCCCCTTAAGAAGGACTCCCAAAAGACTCCCTAGGGCTCCTTCGGAATCCTTCAGGATTCCCTAACAATATGGCCTAGCTACCGTGTGATTAGAGCTATCCTGAAGTCGAACATGACTCTTGAAAGGAGGTTTGGAACTTGGCCCCTCTTCCATCTGCTTCAGGACACTTGTAGATGTTGTTTGCAATGCTTTGCAATACTTCTTCGCTTCCCAGCGGCCAGGCAGCCTGAGTCGAAGCCCTAGAGCCCTAGAGTTCGCGGAGGGCCTTAGAAAACCCAAATTCCAAACCTCGCAGCAGTAGTCACAGGACCACAAAGCCTCATCAAACCCCTACGGCCCTCAAGAAAGGCTTCTGAAAACAGGATCCTCGGAAGATGCCTCTAGGTCATGGCCTTCATGAACGTCCGTATCCTGTCCGTGGGCGTTTCGTTGCCTCCAGGCTGGGAATCTAGCTCGAGCGAGTATGGCTGGGCGCCCCTAGGTTGGATACAGTTCCCGCCTGCAACAGTCCATAGAAGGAGCTCAACATGCGGCTTGATCCCACTGTTGCAGGGTGGGGGCCTGCTCTCAATCAGTGGGTTTAAGACCTACCGTCTGTGCTGTCCAGGGTTGGCTACTCTTGTGGTTGTAGCCTCAGCTGTGGCAAGTACATGGCGCTTGAGGTTTAAACCCTTCACCAGGCTCGCTTGTGGTCTTGGGCCCTGTGTTCCTATGACTCGGCTTTCGGGGCGAAAGTGTAGGGAAAGTGTCGAGAGTTTCAGGTGGCATCGATACAGTTGGAGACCCGAAATGGGCCGGAGACTTCCAGCTGAAATACTACCCGAAGGCATACCCCTCTTACACCAACAACATGAAGTTCGAGGGGGTCTTCCAGGTGACGGCCGGATTGAAGGTTGCAAACTTCAATGGAAATGGCCGCACTTCCGTCTCCTACTGGTCTCCGGAGGTGTCAGGTAAGGCAAAGGATGCGAGCAACTACAAGTTGGAAAAATTGGAACAACCATCGGGCTATGGCTTCACCATTGCTGTCAGCCCGCCGAAGAAGCCAGGGTCTGGGTCGGGGGACTCAGGGTCTACGGACCTCGTCCAGGCTGGGGCATCCGGGGCGGGGCCGGATTTGGCAACAAGCCTTCGTGAGCAGCTTCATGCAGAGGGAATCACCGAGCATGATCTTGTGACTGGACTCCACCAGCTTTCCACTGCAGAGAACATGTCAGGGGTTGTGCCCACTGGGAGCTTCGACGCGCGCTTGCAGCTGTACATATGTTTTGACTCTCCGGCTCGCTGCAACAAGGATGGAGTGTGATCGCGAAACTGCGGCTGTCTCCACATGCAGACGTCAAGCAGCCTCAACGCGCTACGTGAAAAATCCTTCTCTAAGACCCTACAATGTGCTACGATAGGCCTACGCAGCAGCTCTCACTAGGTAAGGGCTGCCAGACACAGAGGTTCAAGAGGAAGTCAGAACTGGACAGGCCTGCAAGCTGTAGCTTGACATCAGCGAGTACCGTCTCTTGTTACGAAGTTGTGTCTTTCCAGAGGGAAGCCTTCATGCCGCTTTTGCGCACCTCCGTCACCGTAGTGGACCGCCGCCGTTACTGTCGCTGTGCCGCACCGTCGCTGCACCCGTTTGTCGACCTTTTGTTGACCGTTTGTGTGGACCCATGTGGACCCGTTTGTTGACTGCCGTCGCCTCACTGATGTCGCTTTGTCCTCGAGCCAGCGATATGATCCTTTTGGCCGCAAAAGGTGTCTGCATCTTTGGGGCTAGGTGTGCAGGGTTTAGGGTTTAGGGTCTCACGGTTCATGTGTTGTTCTTCGTTTTGAGAGTACCTAGACGTTGAAGAGGACCTTACGAAGAGGCTCGAGGGTGGCGAACTAGCAATCAAATCATCCAAATTTAGCATGCCGGAGAGAAGGGACTGACCGCGGCGCCTTTGGCTGCGGCACCTGAAAGCGGGACTCTAACAGCCGCTACAATGGGGTGGTGCCGGGGCTTTTAGCATCACATGCCAACCTGGAAATACAGCGGCTGCGTCGCCCATCTCAACAGTGGAAAGCTTTCACATGGCGACTTCTGAACGGCTTGGGCAGCTTGGGTCTCTATATTCCCCCGCAGTTTTTGGCCAGCAGCTGCTTCACGAGACATGGCCGAGGCTAGTATGAGAGAGACACGCTCACCCATAGCCTGCAGTTTCATCTTGAACTGTGCACTTCCACGTGTGAACACAGCAGACGTACGAGAACTCGGCAGTGGCTTCCGACCATGGCCCTGACCCTCAGTAGATGCGAGCGAGTTCGTAAGTTTCTGCTCTGTTTTTCCTGGGTTCGAGGGTTTTGGAAGCTTTTAGTTCGAGGTTTTCAACGGTCGGTGTAGTGAAGGTGTCTGGGGTTCAAGGTTCTAATTCTGCCTGGCAGTGTTGTCCCGAAGCTCGCCCAAGCACCTCACATGCCACCTGCACTGAAGGTCGGGACTTCCCCGAGCCTGCAAAAGCCCCCTAACCCTAAACCCTAAACCCTAAACCCTAAACCCTAAACCCTAAACCCTAAACCCTAAACCCTAAACCCTAAACCCTAAACCCTAAACCCTAAACCCTAAACCCTAAACCCTAAGCCCTAAACCCTACACGCCTATAAAAAGTCCCTAACATTCCCTCTCGTCGCCTTGGGCCGCCCTGGTCCAAGAAGCACGTTTTGCGACCCTCAGTGTGTGTTTTTTTGGGGTGTGGGTGCGGGTTGGGTTGGGGGGGGGGGGGGTTAGGGTTCTTAAGGCTGAGGCTTCGGGGTTTCTAAGGCTGCAGGGTCCATGGTTCAGGATGTTCCGTGCTTCTTCTCTGGGACCCTGGTCCCTCCAGTGGACCTTGGACCTTTGTCGTTCCCGCCTAACCCCTGAACCAGGGCCCTATGGCATAGGCCCTATGGTCACCACAATGTGCCCGTATACCCTAAGCCGTACACCCCAAACCCTTAAGGAGTTTGGGGTTGACTGTTCTGCTCTTGATTGAATTCCGGTTAGAGAAGTAAGAAACCCAAGCATGTCTCCATCATCCTTAGCTTTAAGAACCTAATCCATTTAGTTCTCAGGTCTGTGCTATGCTGAAGCGACGAACACCCCTTGCGTGCGCCGTCTGCATGTCGGGACCTTGGGGTGGGAAGGTTTAGGGTTTACGGTGCAAAACCACAGGAGTCCGGATGCAACAAGGTTTCGTGTACCCTAAGCCCTCAACCCCAAACATCTCCGCTTGCGAGTGTCTCTTGCAGTAGCACTTGTGAACAGGAGCTGCAAGACTGGGACACCCTTACTGTAGGTCCACCTTTAGACTTTTAACTTTTTATGCCTTAGGGCATCCTAACTCATTCGCATCCTCTGACATGCTACGCCCTAAAGCCTGAAAGCCCTACAGGCCAAAACCTCTCAAATTTTCTACCCAATTTTAAAGTTACTGTAGAACCCAAATCCCCAAACCTTAAAACTCCCCAAAACCAAGATCCTTAGACTCTAAGCCCCAAGGCCTAACACCTTATTTAACCCTACGAACCCTCAACGAGCCCCCAACCCCAAACGCTCACGAGGGGTAGCCCCTTGGTATCAGGGTACCCTACATGGACGGGCCCGTGTTATGCCCCTGATCCTAAACCCTAAACCCTAAACCCTAAACCCTAAACCCTAAACCCTACACCCTAAAAGGGGCCCTAGACCCGCAGGTACTTGCTGGTCGTGGCAGCTCTTTGCCTCGGTACTTGTGGCCACCTGAGGGGGAGGTTGAGG